TGACAAACTGATAGGATTCTCGTTTTTGTTCAAGCGAAACTATGGGAAGAAAGCTCTGGTTTTTATATGAATCAATGCTACACAAATGACTTCGAAGCATTCAAGCGAAGTTTGTCTAATCGATGCAGGCGTTACTTCTATTTCAAAACTTAACCTAGATCCTTCGTTGTTGTCATTGAATGTACATTGTAATTTGTTAAAAGACATCGATGGTTTAGACGCTTTGGGGAAATTGAAGCATTTGGATTTATCCTCGAACTCCATTGAAGTGATTTCGGGCCTAGATAACCTTGTATGTCTTAAGTATTTGAATTTGTCGTGCAACGCCATCACCACAACAAAAGGACTTGAAAATCTAAGGTAAGTCTACATTACTGTGGAGTATTGAGAAATCATATTCCAAACCCATGTGCGTTTCTCCTCCCTTCCTTGTGAAACTACTTTGGGGATAATTTGGTATGTTCTATTTTTATAAGTGATCGTACATAATCTGATTTACTGAAAGTATGTTTTCATTCTTCAGGCAAGTTTGTAGATGTAGATTGTCCAGGTTAGTATAGTCCTGAGAAGGACTGTTTTTGTTGTTGTTGACTGACATTTCGACAACCTTAGCGGTAGTCATCTTCAGAGTCAATGACATTTTCGACTTTATAGATGACTACTGCTAAGGTTGTTGAAACATCAGTCAACAACAACAAAAACAGTCCTTCTCAGGACTCTACTAACCTGGACGATATACATTTACAAAAATGTAACGATACTCCCTGGTTCAAACCATTTACTTAATTCTTCAGGCAACTCGTGAAACTAGATCTTTCGTACAACACAATCAACAGCCTTTTGGGTCTAAAGTCGTTAGCTTCAACAGGCTCATCATTATCTACACTCTATCTCCAAGGAAACGACATCAGATCCATTGATCACATCATCAACTGTCTGAGTGAATTTATCCAACTTAAAGAGATTGTTTTTTCTCAAAATGAAGATACCAATCCTGTTTGTAAACACCCAAAGTACAGATCCCTAGTACTGTCAATGCTACATGATATTCAAGTTTTGGATGGTATGGATCGATTAGGGAAACCTGTGGATAGTGAAAATCTATCGGATAATCTTGGCTTAACAGGTAGGAATGACCGAGCTTGTTTTGAAATGGAAACTAACTGTTGGTTGGTTTTTGCTGTTGTGGTAGCTCGCATTCATGACAGAATAAAAAGTTAACTAAACTATCACAAAACCCATTTATATGTAGTTGAAAAGATTTCCTAGACTACAATTTGTTGACTATTAAGTTTAGTTAACAACCATTGATAATGCTATAACTAAACATTGATTGTCATGTTTGTTTTGTATGAAATACACAATGTAACCAATTAATGTCCATTTCTAGATGTTGATGATTACATAAACTATCTCATAAAGTCATCCTCCAATGTTTCAACAAAGGTCAGTATTGTGCAAGCGACCAACTGTTCTGATGTTTTCCCTTGAAGTAAGCTGGCAACATTGAACTAAGATACATGGAACGCTACTTGAAGCAAATAATTGAAGCCAAATATTACACCCAGACACGCGGGATTTTACCTCTAGACACGCGTGTGTAGTGTTTCGAGATACTCGCGGTGTGAAAATTGATTGACTACACACGCGTGTCTGGGGTAAAGTCTCGCGTGTCTGGAGTAAAATCACGGTTTCAAAAAATTATTAGGGTTTTGTATTACAGGTAGCGTTCCATGTATTTTAGTTGAATGGCTAACAATAAAACCAGCGTTTCACATTAGAGGAGACTGGAAATAAATGTAGAATAGCTCTATGTCTAGCTTCTTCGTATATAGAAAGTGGGTCAGTTACCTAGCGTTATGGCATAGCTACTAAACTCGAGAAGAGGGTTAACGTGTACCTAAATATTATTTTGCATTCAAAATAATATATTTCCCTGATATAACACCAAATACATACATGTATACATTACCTCAACTTGTACACTTCTCTCTTAAATGAAAATACGAAAATAAATTCTTCTTACAAAGGCGGAGCATGGTGGATCCTCGACCGATGTGACCAGTACGCCAAGAATCGACGAAATGCTGTCGAAATTCAAACGTCAGCAAATGGAAGCACCCATGACGTCACGCGAAGATGACCATGATTTCCAATCGACGGGTTCCCGTAAGATTGCTTCGTCAGTAGATCATGAAGTACGATTAGAAAGACTCGAACATCAGCTGGCTCACGTTCTCTATAAACCTGTAAAGGTTCGTTTCATAAGGGAGGTAGCTTGGGTTGGAGGAGGGAGGGGGTGGGGTGTCTGTGTTGAGAAATACATGGAACTGGAAGAAATGACTTTTCTATAAAATTAAGGTTCGTGAGTTCACCCCTCACCCCCCCTTTTCAGTAATTTTCAATGAAAAATTTCCACCAACTTTCTTCCTTCACCCCCCCTCCACCCCGCTTTTCTTTAATAATTATTAGTTAACCGTGACATTGACGTTTTTCTTATTCTTCATACGCAGGATGTCCGTTCCAGTCCGTCATCAGAAAAAACTGAAAAAGCAAACTGCAAACTTAAACGTAAGCACCACGTGTCGTGAATTCGGGGCGTGCGTTGCATTCTGGTGATGTGTAAGCACCACGTGTCGTGAATTTGGGGCGCGCATTGCATGCTGGTGATGTGACAGTTTGAATCTTTATTTAATTCATTCCTACAATTGTTTTTCTTATACGAGACAGTTAAGTTACCGGGGATATACAAGGCGGGAACCAAGTTCTGATAATAAATAATAAAGCCCAGAAGAATGGTTTTAAAAGAGACATTAGATACAAGAATATGTACATGCAAAAAGAAATATTTATTGAGTAGCGATGAAATGTTACGCTTCTCAATAAATATTTCTTTCTGCATGTACCTATTCTTGAATCTAATGAGTCTTTTAGAAACCACTCTGACGGACTTTAATATTTATTATTAGAATTTGAGACAGTTTATGTAAAAAATTTCGTAAACTGTTTAGGTCATTCACATATATTTCTTTATCGGCAGACACGCGACAAAAATCCTCAGATTCAGACACAGTGACGACGGACAGTCCTGTAAAAGAAGAACTCAAGCAGTATCCAAAATATATCAAACGAAATGTATCATCTTCTAAGCGAGGAAGAACACACCAGACCCCGAGCACGAAAAAACAAACTTCTACGAAGAAAATGGCCAAGGACGGTAAAGGCAAAACTAAAGACAGTTTCAAAACAATTGAGAATTCATCGACAACCAATGAAAATGAAAAGATTGTGAAGTTTAGTGGAAATAATGAGCAAATGATGGCACAAGGCTCGCGTTATGTACGACATCACGAAGATGATGCTACATTTTGGTAAAATCTATTTTAAATTTTGTTGTTTTTCATTGTCTGGCTTATTGTATGTTTTACCAAATCCTGCGATAAATGTTCTCTTTGTTAACCTGTTTATGAGTGCCGCTCTTTAAACCACTCGTGGACCAGGGCCGTACCTAAAACGTTATTTGAGGGGTGGGTGTATATTCATATATTGAGTTGTACCCAACTGATTTCTTTTGAAAGCCAAATCACTTTGAGAAGAAGTCAGTCGGGCAAAGCTGAATATATAAAACACCCCTCAATTAACTTTGTAGGTACGACCCAGCTCAGGGCTGGTGTTTTTTGCTTATGTCTTGCCCCCTTTAAGGTTTCAGGGTGGTATTTGAAAGAGAATAGGGTATCACAGATAGATGCCCAACCGATCCAATCGAGATTACTTTCGATGCATCTTTTTAAGTGTGGTCAAGCAGCCATGTATTGCAACCAACAACCCGCGCAAACGCGGCAATCCTTTTTCAAATACGTAATCGTGTTATTCTTGGCTTGCATGCTACGTCATAGCCGCCATGTTGGATGATTATAATGGCGAGCATTTCCTTGTTCCAGGGGAAAGGGTTGCAAGCCATCAATATTTCAAGAATCAGAACGTGACTAGATGAAATCTTGCAAACTGCTTGATTGTATATCCTAAAGTGATTTTTATTTGGTTTTGTATAGTCACTGATCCAAGAACTTGACATGGAGCGTGAACGCAGATGGAAGGCGGAACAGGCAGCGTTAAAGTTAGTTGATCACGTGAAAGAGTTACAAATTAAGGGTTTGTTGCGTTTTTACTTATTAGCCATTGAACTCAGTACCTCTCTGGAGCGTTTCCTTTATATAAACAATCTCAAAACATAGGGAAATCATAGATTGTTTTAAGGTCTTAGATTGTTTTATAGTTTAGAATTGTCTTTCCTATTAATTTCACTATGATTATGCTGCATCCTGTTTTCTAAAACGTTTTCAAGGTATCCTGTGATGATGTTCTATGCTTTTGTTTTATCTAGTAAACGACGAGAAAAAGCTTGAAGACGCTGCTTTGACAGCGAGTACCAAACTGAAGGATATTTTATCAAAGGAAAGACTTGAAAAGATAAAGTTGACGAAAGAATTGAACGTTTTACGAGCAAATCACTATGACTTAGTGGAACAGTTTAAGAATTGTCGTGAGACCGAAGAAGAACAAAGAAAGCACTCAGAGCGATGGAGGCTGCTACGACTAAACTTGAAACTGAAAGAATACAGCAACATGCTCACGAGGTTTGCACGTGATTGACACTATGGCTGTTGAGGTATCGTAGGAAACAGAGAACATGAATATCTTAGGAAACAGAGAACATGAATATCTTAGGAAACAGAGAACATGAATATCTTAGGAAACAGAGAACATGAATATCTTTGGAAACAGAGAACATGAATATCTTTGGAAACAGAGAACATGAATATCTTAGGAAACAGAGAACATGAATATCTTAGGAAACAGAGAACATGAATATCTTAGGAAACAGAGAACATGGATATCTTAGGAAACATAGAACATGAATACCTTAGGAAACAGAGAACATGAATATCTTAGGAAACAGAATGAATACTTTGAATACATGAATACTTTCGGAAATAGAACATGAATACCTTGACGAACGATAAACGTTTTGATGATATTTTTTATTCATGTAGGTTTCCAAAGTCCAAGAGCAACAAATGAGAGCCACAGCCCTAGCAAGGGAACTTGAACTGAGGAAAGCAACAAACAAACAACTTAAAGGACAGGTTCAACAGCTTCAGGAACTCCTCGCAACACGAGAACAACAACACAAGTAAGGATTCATTGGAACTGTAGCTGTAACTCTGTTTATTAATTCTCTGGAAAACAGCTTTTGATAAATTATTAAAAGAAGAGTAAGCTTTGACAGGCACTAACAAAGTATTTTATACCTCGACGTATTTATAATATAGCGTACTGCAGTTCAAAAAAGTCACTGATTAAATGATCAAACGATGTTGTACAAAGTCTTTATGTTTCTTTGAAATACCATCTCAATTTTCATGTCGTAGCTACAAGTTGAAAGGGTGACATATCAAGTAGAATAACAATTTTTTCTTTATTCAGGGTTCAAATGGACGGTTTGGTTAGTATTGACGGTCGTGATGTTAGAGAAATAATCAATAAAGAACTAGCAAAGCAAGAAATAAGATTTGAACAAGTCACAAAGCAATGGGAGGAAAGGTAATCGCGTGTATTTATTATTGCCGAAAATTGCAATTTACAACATGATAAAAAAATTGGCTTCGATACAGAAATAGCACGGTCTCAACTTAAGTAGCTACCTACTTTTAGTACAAAGTTTCTATAGAAATTTGGCAGTATTGTGATGAACTTAAATGAAGATATGATCTTCGCACTTTGCTGGACAATTTAAGCAATTGTCTCCAGAACCTGAAAAATTCAGACAATGAGACAATGAAACAATTGCTTAAATTGTCCAGCAAAGTGCGAAGATCATATCTTCATTTAATTTCAAACACCGCACTGCATATAACATTCTTAGTATTGTGATGAGTCGAACGGTTTATTCATATGTAGTGTAAACTCCCCAGGGGGGCGAATGTTATTTATGTTCATTGTGATTTAGTGCTGTTCGTCACAAACAATGTTATCGGCTCTATGCTAGCGCTACCAGCCCCCCCCCGGGCTTCTGGAAAGCGCGAGATGATATAACAGCAAACTTTTTTAGGAGAGGTCACGCGTCCATGTTGGTGTTTTATAAAATTTATAAATAAAATTTTAAACATGACTCCTGCATGAAATCAATTGTCAAATGAAAATAAAAGAATCACAGCAACACCATCATTGCGCGCTGGATTTAACGTAATTGTTATACAAGAGAACTGATAATTTATTCCGTTATATAATTGTCACTTTCCTTTAATTATCCTGTTATTATCATGAATTACCATGAGTGTGTGCCTGTTTTCTGTGCGAAATGAATTAAAATTTTATAACGCAAGTGTTGAGATTGGGGTTCAATTCAGACTATACAAATGTCTTCGCCTATAAAACGTTGTCGTTGTAAAAACGTAAAGTCTTGGACTCAATTATTTATTTTAACAATGAGACAAGGAAAGCAGTGTAGTTCTTGTTTGCCATGAAGCCCAAAGATGCTTTCTTTCATGATGCATTTAATTTATTAAAAGTAAATGAGAGAGTTGCCAATCAATGAAAAATGTATAAAACATGTGCGAGGTTGACATAAATCAAAAAGCCAGAGGTTGTTTGAACCTTTGCAGTATGTTCTAGTTTATTTTATGAGAAGAAAAGAAAACAAAAGATAAAATTCGAAAGCAAAAAACCCCGTTTTCGGTCCATGCTTCCCGATACCTGCTTAAGCCGAGGCACTAGAACGCCGCATGTTAACGTTTCGGTAGGAGATTTCGGCCCCTCCACGCTATCCTACTTGGGAGATGCAATAGCAAGCTTCCGCCCATCAGACCCCGAGATCACCTGCGATAGGCTTTGCTCGGGGTACGCAGGGAGAGTGCGGTCGCGACCCGAAACGTCTGGACCCTAAGCCACTGCATACATATCGCACCCAGCTTCCACTGCTAGTTGACATCTACTATACCTAATATTGGCTTTATATATATATACCAAAATTCAGAGGCTTACGAAAGTTATGGTATTATTAAAGTCACTACTGCGCATGCCCAGATGATTTCTTCGTTAATTTGCGACTAAGTGAGCTAATTGCCACAATTATAGTGCAAGTACATATGGTTAGTCGTTGCCATGACTATGAACAATTAGTCAAGTGTACTACGCATGCTCCTGCGCATGCGCAGATGATTTCTCCATTTAATTGTTACTAAGCATGCTTTTTACTTCAAAATCGATGCTAGTAGATGCAGCTGGTCGTTGCCATAACTATGAAGTCAAAAAACCGTCAAGTGGACTGCGCATGCACGAGAAGACTGCGCATGCGCTGATAAATTGTGACTAAGCGAGCTATTTACTTCAACCAGACTGTGACTGACAAGTCCCAAATTGGTATAAGAAGATCTGGTTGGCTGTTGCCATACCTACGGACTACAACAGTTGTTCAACTGGACTGCGCATGCTCAGAGTTTTTTTGACCTACATGCGTTAATGGAGTAGGCTACGCAAGTTTTCAGTCATATATTATTGACAGGTTGTTTGTCTTTTAAGTTTGTTTCGACAAATGCATTTCCAAACTTGTTACCCATCGACCGTTATCAGCCTGACGTATTCCCGCCATGATTAAAAGTATTGTAGGCAATACACAACCGTAGACATTACTTGATGGACAGAAAGAATATTTCTTACGCGTAAACTGTGGACAAGAACGCAACAACTGGTTACCTATAGGCTTAATTTTGATGTTTTATTTAAAATGTTTTGAAGTCCTTGAATGTTCACTTCATACACGAATCAAAATCAAAACGAAAGTTAATGAAGAAATGAAAAAAATTTATAAAAAACTTTATGATTGATTCAAATTACCAGCCAAAAGGCAGTGTTTTTTTTAAAAAAAATTTTGTACTATCCTTCGATCCCTACATACGTAGTATTTTTGTCGTCGCTGTTCTCAAGTTTTTTTCTCTTTATATTATGCTCAATTTGAATTTGACGGTGATTTTGTTTTTATGTCATTTATATTTATTCTCCTTTGAATAGATTAACACAGAAGACGAACGATTATTACAGTTTAGAAGATGAGTTCCGTATGGCCTTGCAGATTGAATCTAAACGATTTCAAGAGGTTCGGCAGAGCTGTGTTTAAAAAAAACTTCTCTTACATTTCGATGTGTCTCAGACATTAATTTCTGATTATTTGGCGTTTATTATTCCTTATTCGTTGATTACCGCGTTCGGCATTTGGTTTTCATTTTAGCTTCAAGACGAATTCACTAAAATAAGCGAGGAATGTTTGCAATATAAACGACTGTCGCAAACCATGAAAGATAAAGAAACGAAAGCGACCGGAATGGTATCCGAACTGACTGCGGTAAGACTTTTAAAATTCAATCCTCAGCTTTACAAAACATTTCTCGTGATGAGATGATAGCATACACTACATATTTGTCGACAAGTGAAAACTTTATGTCTTTAAAAATAAGTTTTCGTCGAAGTCATTCACACACTTGATATAGGTACAGTTGTATGTGTGTCTACATCAATTGTGCGTAAGACAGACTATTTTAAGTTGCTTGCAAAACGTATGTAGTCGTTAGCAAGTTGTTCGCTCTGTCGTCCAAATGATCGTAATAAAGTAAATGGTTTGAACCCGGGAGTATCGTTATATGTTTGTAAATGTCGATCGTCCAGGTTGGTATAGTCCTGAGAAGGACTGTTTTTGTTGTTGTTAACTGACGTTTTGACAACCTTAGCGGTAGTCATCGTCAGAGTCAAGGAGATGACTACCGCTAAGGTTGTCGAAACGTCAGTCAACAACAACAAAAACAGTCCTTCTCAGGACTATACCAACCTGGACGATCTACATTTAAAACATGTAACGATACTCATTCGAACCACAAACTATTTTATCGACAAAGATTGTACAGTGTGATTAATCTCTGTCCGTATTACGGTATTTTCTACTATATCTCACGCGAAGCTGCCTGTTTTGAGCCACACAACAATTTTAGCTGGTCAAAGAACAAAAGATTCGAATAACAGAACTGACAAAGTCAAAGCAAGAAGCACTGCTTCAACAGAAGGTAACTACTAGATGAAAAAACTTTAACCGTCATTATCTTTCGCATCTCTTTTCAAAACTCATGTCAAATAATATCATTTGTGTATAAAATGGTGACGTTTTTCAAAAATAACTTCCGTCGCCGTTAAAAATGTTGCGGTTATTTTTTATCCACGGTACAGTCTGCAATACTTAGTTCTTACGTGTTTCCTGTTCCGACCACAGGAAAGAATTGACTCGCTTGAAGAAGAAACAAAAATTGCCCGTAAGAGAATTTCGAGAATTGAAGTTTTGGAACAAGTATGTAATCTCTCCTGTAACTTTTTCCCGCAAAAAATTACGCCAAGCTATCGTAGTTGGTAGCTCCACTGAACCAAATATACATTACATAACTGAAAAGCTTTTTTAACATCAAGATTTCACTCGTGTGATAGTGTAAAGCAAAATTTTCCATGCGTTTGTCTGGAAATAAAGTAACGGTAACTTTGTTTTGTTTTGATAGTCTGTTTGAGCCTGCCATTTATCTTGTTGTATATTCAGTTTCATTGAAGAAGCTCTATATTTATAAACATGGCAGTTATCATCCTTGTTTGCTTTTCTGTGTGCAAAGAAAGATTAATTTTCGATCGCTCTTATAGTTACACCTAACACGATAAATTGTGTAGCCAAGTTTAATTATTTTGAGCATTCTTAACAAAGAAAATTTATGTTCTATATTCATCTTTCCAGGCTGTGTTAAAACAACGCTTGTTTTATCACAACCATCGCTGTTTTTATGATTTATTTGATTTCGCCCGCTCATCTCCAGGATAAATCAAAGTTATCTTCACAAGTTCGTGCGCAGGAATCTGTCATTCAAGGTCTTAGAATGGAACGGAAATTATGGAGCGAAGAATTGGCCCAACAAGGTAATGTATCTCGCTTTCCATGCTGCCAAATTCCTATTTCCATATTCTGTTGTATGTTGGAAAATTGTTTATCTTTGGCGTGTCTTTCTGAGTGTTGAAATGTTTGTCTGAAGGCATGATTACTTGTTATAGATTTAATGCGCATAACATTTCAATGTTTGTACAAGTTGTTTTGTTTACAACGCACAAAGTTTGCTGCGAACGATTTTCCCACGTACTGCGTACCCAATTAAAGTGTTGTTTTTGCTAAAGTTCATAACAAGAATGGCGGGCATTGTCACACAGATGTTAAGATTTTAGGAAGTGGTTTCTTTCTCATTTTTTCATATCCTACTTGTACCTTTGCAGGGGCCTCTCTTGCTCAGGACCGTGGGAGATTAGAGTCTAGACTGGAAGCTCTGACCGCTGAAAGGAAGCAACTTCTAGAACAAATTGAGGTCGGTGTTTATAATCATTTTGTATCTTACTGTGAGTAATCGGAGACGTTGACAAGCAGTTGACATTGATTGAAACGCTTGCTGCTCGCCCGCTTACCCCCGGAAACCGAATCGTCAACAATCTTGTTGCTATATTTAAATTGAAATCTTCATCTTTGTCGAGTCGGATGGGGTGTTGCTGCTACAAGCAGTGACGCAGCCAGCTCACAAGTTTGGTCATGCTATCTAGATATTTAGATTAATAAAGAAATGAATAATGTTACATAGCATGACTAAATTTGCGGGCTGGCTACCCAACTGGCTACAACTCTGGTAACTACCATTAAACACATTTTGTAAAACCACCCACCCACCCCCACCTCTATCGCAAGATCAACAATGTTTGGAATTTATATTCATATAGAATTCATGATTATTTTCCAGGATGCAAACGATTCCATTCGGATAAAATCTAAAATGCTCGAAGATCAAACAGAGTCCATCAGACAATTAAAACTGGTACGGAAACAACATTTGCATTCTAAAATACTCTCCCATTGATGAAATACAAATGCTAAGAAACTAACTGTGGCTTGCTTTGAAATTATTAAGTGCAAAAATATTCCATGCTTACAGAGTTTGAATGAACGTCGAAATGAGCACGAAAGGTCTTTGGAAGATGAGAGAGTAAAAGTTCAAGACTTTGAGGAAAGATTAGAAAGACAAATGTGTGTTACTCAAGAACTCGAGGTAAGATCTTTACGTCTCTTAAGGAGCAGACTATCATCGTTTTTGGACAATTTTTCAAACTCGAATATTTTGCTAAACGTTCACCGCGAAAATTAGCAACAACGTGTGATTTTCAAATCAAACTAGAACAAGTTATAATTGCGCTTTTTTTCTGATTTCATATTATTCCAGAGGGCATTATCTGATTAACAGTTTGGTCTTATTTTTCGTGTTATTTCATTCACATTTCAGGAAAAAAACGAAAGCCTTTTGCAAAGGAAGGAAGAACTTAAAGACGAGCTCTCGTCACTGCATACGGACCTGGAGAAATCAAATGAAACCAATAGGTTGACGCATTCGTTTTATTTAAATGAAGCATTTATAAAAAACAGAGATCTAAAATATGTAAGAAAGCTTTATGACGTATAGTCATGTAGCTGGGATTGGTTGCAAGAAGCCTAGATTGCGTTATCCACTGAATAGCAACGTTTATAAAATCTCTTGGAGGAGAAAAATATACGATTTGAACTGTGCAATCACTGAAATAAAACATTGTTTCGAAGATTACAAAATTTCTTTGACGTAAGAAAAATATCAGCACCTTTTTTACAAGTTTGAAGATTTTTGCTATCCAATGGATAATGTTATTCAGGCCACGTGAAACCTGTCCCCTGATGTCTTTCTAATGGGAATTTTTATAGAACTTTAAAAAGCAAGTGGCAACAACGAAGTGATTTGATTGCTCGTCTGGAACAAGAGGTCAAAGAAATGCGTAGTCAGTTTGACACGAAAGAAAGGAATCTTGTGGAGGAAAGGGACAAAGCCATTAAGGGGGGAAAGTAAGTTTGCTTTTTTTTTATCAATGTTTTCATGATTGCGTGGGATGAATGCGTTGATGGCGGCTTAAGGGACATCGTGGGACTGTTGTATGAGGTCATCGTGGGACAGTTGTATGAGGTCATCGTGTGACAGTTGTATGAGGTCACCGTGGGACAGTTGTATGAGGTCACCGTGAGACAGTTGTATGAGGTTACCGTGGACAGTTGTATGAGGTCACCGTGGGACAGTTGTATGAGGTCATCGTGGGACAGTTGTATGAGGTTACCGTGGACAGTTGTATGAGGTCACCGTGGGACAGTTGTATGAGGTCACCGTGGGACAGTTGTATGAGGTCATTGTGGGACAGTTGTATGAGGTCACCGTGGGACAGTTGTATGGTCATTGTGGGACAGTTGTATGAGGTCACCGTGGGACAGTTGTATGAGGTCATTGTGGGACAGTTGTATGAGGTCACCGTGGGACAGTTGTATGTGGTCATTGTGGGACAGTTGTATGAGGTCACCGTGGGACAGTTGTATGAGGTTACCGTGGGACAGTTGTATGAGGTCACCGTGGGACAGTTGTATGAGGTCATTGTGGGACAGTTGTATGAGGTCACCGTGGGACAGTTGTATGAAGTCACCGTGGGACAGTTGTATGTGGTCACCGTGGAGCAGAAATATTTCGTCACCGTTAAATGGTCATGTGATCATGTTAATTATTGTTTTATATATGACAGCTTGGCAATCGAAAAACTACGATCATGTGACGACGCGTTTCGTAAGCAACTGGAGAAACAAAAAGAGGTTTATGAGCGCGAATTAGATCGCCTATCTAAGGAGAAGGAAGAAATTACTGAACATTCAAACTTGAAGGTATTAAATTATAGTTTTAGATGCTTGCTTTGGATTGTCGTTCATTGGTACCGATAGAACTACGGTCTATGAACTTTTCATTTTGTTTGCTATGTGTAAAAGTGGTATGAATCCTTGCATAGCGGCTTGTGAAGCTTAAGTAGTTTTCGTTCTCAGTCCCTTTAACACGTGCTCTTATTTAACTCACTGCGCTTTAAAGGGACTGGGGCTGAAAAAAAGAAATTGACTATTCACTTCATTGACTGTAGTGTTCGTTTGTACCCAGGTCTCCGAAGTAGAAGATGAGATGAGACAGATTCTACAGGAAGCTGCAGCAAATAAAAAATCACTGGAAATGAGGATTAGAAAATTAACGAACGCCTTTAACGAAATTCAAGCGGATCTTACGTCGTGATCATGTGATCTGTGATTTGATTTTACATGAAAGGATAACTGAATGTAGGTATATAGGGTCTTTAGGGATTCATACAGCTGTGTAGCTACATAGAGATATTTGACTGCATCTTCCATATTGTCCAACTTTATCCTGCATTGTCAAACATCACCCGGTTATTTCCAACTTTATCCTACATTCTCCAACATCACCCGGTTATTTCCAACTTTATCCTACATTGTCCAACATCACCCGGTTATTTCCAACTTCATCCCACATTTTCCTACATCACCCTGTAATGTCCAACTTTATCCCACATTGTCCAACATCACCCAGTTATGTCCAACTTTATCCCATACTATCCAACATCACCCGGTTATTTCCAACTCTATCCCACATTGTCCAACATCACCCAGTTATGTCCAACTTTATCCCACCTTGTCCAAAATCACCCGGTTATTTCCAACTTCATCCCACATTTTCCTACATGACCCTGTAATGTCCAACTTTATCCCACATTGTCCAACATCACCCAGTTATGTCAAAACTTATCCCACAATGTCCAACATCACCCAGTTTTGCCCAACTTTATCCCACATTGTCCAAAATCATGCAAAATTATTTTCAGGAATCTAAACAACAGTTGGGAGACAATTTTATGCCCTCGCTAGACGTATAAGTTTGTCTTTACGATTACACCTACTTAGGTGATTTGCTTATAATCTGAAGAAGTCACTCTTTGGCATATTAATCTCTTTTACCTTGTTGTTTTAAGGTTATAGAAAAAAATGAATCTTAATTGAGGAAGAGATTTTTTCATTATTAATGAGGTAAGAAAAGCTATGGGTGTCTGTTAATCTGTGGCTACAGTCATACGCTAAGGGTGTCTGTTAATCTGTGGCCAAAGTCACACGCTATGGGTGTCTGTTAATCTGTGGCTACAGTCATACGCTATGGGTGTCTGTTAATCTGTGGCTACAGTCATACGCTATGGGTGTCTGTGAATCTGTGGCTACAGTCACACGCTATGGGTGTCTGTTAACCTGTGGCTACAGTCATACGTTATGGGTGTCTGTGAATCTGTGGCTACAGTCACACGCTATGGGTGTCTGTTAATCTGTGGCTACAGTCATACGCTGTGGGTGTCTGTTAATCTGTGGCCAAAGTCACACGCTATGGGTGTCTGTTAATCTGTGGCCAAAGTCATACGCTAAGGGTGTCTGTTAATCTGTGGCTCCAGTCATACGCTAAGGGTGTCTGTTAATCTGTGGCTAAAGTCACACGCTATGGGTGTCTGTTAATCTGTGGCCAAAGTCACACGCTATGGGTGTCTGTTAATCTGTGGCCAAAGTCACACGCTATGGGTGTCTGTTAATCTGTGGCCAAAGTCACACGCTATGGGTGTCTGTTAATCTGTGGCTCCAGTCATACGATCGCATGGAAATACCCAGAAAAAGGTGAGTTGCGCGTGTGGAACTTACGATTCAAACGTAATCAAAACGATTTAATTCAAATGATCGCGTTAGACTAAACACATTACATGACACATGAGCTCGCCAATGGTATTTTCACTTAAATATATTTGTATCAGTAAATGATTTTCATTGGTCGTTCGTGAACATTGAACGTAGTTGTTTGAAGTGGATGTTATGAGTGATGCAATTGTGTTGTTTTGATTATGCATCATAGCAATCAAAACTACAGGTGCTAATAACTGTACCCTCCCATAACACCCAAGACGCAATTTCCATTCAAAAAATCACACTTTTTTTCGCGTACACTCCGTTTCACCCTCATGCGACAAAATAGAAAATTGTATTTTTAAGCTCACCGTGCAAAATGGCCGTGCCGAAGTATGTGTCTTTATTGTCCTTTGTTCTTTTCTGTGTTAATTGAAACTGTTTTTTTTTACGTTAGCGGTTGTGTTCATACCGATCTCAGTTGGTTGTTTGATTTTTTTTGTTTTATCTGTTGTCTTTGATTCTGCTCATGTTTATCATCACCACAGGATGTGTTCAAATAATAGGAATTATTACAGTCATTGTTACATATGATTCAAAACTATGCTTAACTCGCGGCTGTTGTTGCATTAAAATCACCATAAGCAATGTCTTATGTTGCTTCTACCTTTATGAAAACCAAATCGTCTATAACGTATAACTTCGTGTTATAATAATCTAGAAACTTTACCTAGCTAGAAATCTCGGAAGTAACATTGAAATGACGTTCGAAGGCCGTCCAATGGAATGTTTATTTGTGGATTCGATAATATTTTCATTTAGCGTGACATGGTTTATTCAATTTTTAAAGAATGTTCCATGATCCTTCAAAAAAGCTCTTCAATATTGTTTTTAATATCCCGGCGGCATGCCTAAATTACTTTGTTATAATCTTTTTGATAAGAATCCTCCCTGATCTTCAAAACTTTTATCTTCGACATTTTTGCGTTTTGCCATACGCAGTTGTACCACTCGGTGATTCTTGTTAATGGCGGTGTTCTCTGTTATATACAAAAATTAGCGCTAAAATGTTCATTTGTCGACTATTGTATATAACTTGCGTACTCTTAAAGTGGTGTTTGCTTAATCTTATTACAAAGGATTGAAACAAGGCACTTGAGATGCGATTTGACAAGTACCAGAAATCTATACTTTTGTACTTGCAATTCATTATCTGTCTTAGAACGTTTTCCTGATTTTTCGAATCGCTTTGCTGATGGTAATCATTACATCTACGCCAGTCGATGTCAGTATTGTTCGTAGATTCTTCGATCCTCTTGCTAAAAATGCCATTTTGTACAGCCTTTAGCAATGTCTGGCGATGCGAGAAATGATAATTGGTCTATAAAACGTAGGATTAACAATTATACGTCCATATATCATTTGGAAAAAAAAACTTGATGTCCGAAAGCACGATTTTATGTCGTTTACATTTTCGCTACAAAGAGGATTTTCATCCGCCGAGAACTTCTGTTTACAGTATAGTCGCACAGCACTTCTCTGACCAGCTGAAAATCAAATCATTATGATGTAATGACAACACGAAATGCACTTCACCGACTGTTTAAGATAAACTCGCCACCTTATCAAATACACTCATGTTTACACAGCCTTCGTAGAGCCTAGCTCTACGAGATTCTCAAAATCCACCAAACATTAAGTAGATTTCTAAACCCTTTCCTTACTTCAGTTATTTGTCTGGCAGCTCATTCTGCGATTATGCTTGAAACTTGTGACTGAGCTTTTAAATTACGGTTCTCTGTTTTTGCATATCTTGAAATGGCATGCGCGTTTTATGATTTTCAAGTATGAGGGAACTCGCGAACATGACTCTGATCGCAAGATATCAGATAGCAGAGCCATAATTCCTATCCACCGTACCCCTTGAATAGAAACACAATGGCGTTGTAAAGACATGCCGGCTATACACGCAGTATTTGTTTTATTTTGAAAGGAGATGATTACATTGCGCTCGCTCGAATAAACATAATTAGGAATAAATCGCGTCAAATTCCACGCATGCCTTTGATTGAACACGCTACGTTGGATCCGACCTGCCGATTGGTTCGTTCCGTAGCAAAGCGGCAAGGAAATAGGTTCTGGGGTGGGCTTAAAACGACATTGAACTTCACAGTCTGTCACAAATACGACGAACGGTATATGCTCTGGAGCTCAACAAGAAACCAGGAAAAACAACGATGAAGATATTTAACTCAATATGCATCTCCTTGTTCTACGTGTTTTTAACGTGGTAAGTTTTAATGTTGGACGCTATCAGGTTAACATAAAGCTCGGCTCGATTAACTGCACAGTTCAGTATATTTGTTTTGATTGTACATTTATTTGTGACATTCATTGCGCGCTGTCCGACATACTTTTGACGAGGAAATTAAAGAGGCCTTCTAAAGGTGAATTTTTATATAAAATCGCCATGATGTTACTTGTGACCTACAACTTAACTTATCGTGTGCTCGTCGCGCACTCGTGTGTCATTGAGACTGGCTTAAGCTAACCTATGCCAGAAATATATTTTAATCGCAAGCGTGTGGTTTACAGTTGGCTGTCTGTGTGCCCGTATATGCTGTCAAACTGCGGTCAATGAGTGACATTCTTTATATGTTAGTGTAGAGATATTTTGTACGATTTGATATTCCTGCCCAATTTTGCTATTGCTCCAGTTCGGGCGAATGTTTACATCCCGGTATTTGCCCGTTGACCTCGTCGTTGATTAAACGTTTTCTTTTACAAAACATCAAAATTGCGCGCCAGGTCGCACGCTCTCATTCGAGCACGATTTTCGCTTCTCTTCGTTTGCATCACGCCAGATAACTTTTTAATAAGAGAAAAACGGCATTTTTGCAGCAAATTTTTAATGAACTTTTAATGAGCGCGTTGCAATTAATTATCGTTTAATTGCGACATCAAGCATGAATTAGGAGACGTTGTTGCATGTGAAACATATCCTTAGCGCTTCTTCAAACATAAACATTGACGTATGTCCCAGTGTACGTAATATGGCGGTCTTATTCACTGCTCTAAATTCTTCAGAGCGCCTTTCCACTTGAGTTGTCGACAAAAGCGAAAGACTTAAGCGAAAGGACGGACGACAGATGAAACATTTTCGTAACTGTTGAAATAGATTACATTACACAAAACAGGGTGCAGCGTGTGCTTCTTGCAGTGTCATTTTTACATTTGAAAATGCCACATATGTACCATTACGCCCTTGTGCGCAACCATTTGGTATTTTCCGCGCTGCGTGGCGCTTGTATGAAGTTAATCTGCTAAATAGGAATGTTTTCACGATGTCGGCATTTCGATTGATTTATATCAAGGCTCTTTCCTTATTTGCGTACGTAAATATTTACTTAGCGCCATTATATCGCTATTTAAATTGTTTTGTCTGTTCTCCGTTTAGCAAATGCTCTCCGCTTGCGAGTACCTCTCCCGAAAAAGGATTGCAAAAGGTAGGATGCACATAAAACGCCCTCCATAAAATTTTCCATTTTTACCCATTATTCACTGACCTTTGTATGTGTTATCTGGATGTATCGTCATATCAAAATTACTTTGTTTTTGTAATTGTTGTTTGTTGTCTAAAACAGAATATGGTCAAACCGTATGTGGCAAATTTTTATGAAAGTACCCACGGTGCGATGTAAAATCTTAAGTGCTATCTTAAATAAATATATTTTGACAAAATATTTTGACGTTTTTGAAAGCATTCTATTTTTAAAAGTGTCTTCGGTCTTTGCATTCAGGCATGTATTATCCTCAACTAACAGCTCTTACTCCTTAAAACTCCAATCTTCCGATCATTTTTCGGGTAAATTTCACCCAGAAATAACGACGTTAAAATCATCGTGTGATTGAGGTGTTGATCGCTCAACACTTAGATCCAAGTAACAGCTCTCGTGAAGGTGGCTGTTATCACGACAACACATATACTTGTGCCGCATGCAACTTTTTTGCAACCTCACTATCACTCAGATGAATTTTCAATTTCATAAACTGCTATCTTGTTGATGAAGTTTTCCATCGATTTTTCGCTTAAGTTCCCTTTCAATTAAAAATCTAATCCTCCCTAATTGGAAAATTTCCTCGGGTCTGTGTTCACCATGGTAAAATCAATCATTAAACCTCAGCTTCCTCTATAGTCTGTTCCCGCTCACAACGGGAACCGCTGCGTGGTTTGTCAACTGATAAAAATCTCAAATTATTTTCTTATTTTTCCTGTTCTCAATTAACGTGAACATTACCGTGCCTTTTTAAAACCGCTTTCATTATCCAATCAACATTAACAATGCTGTTTTACGTCATTGCAATATTTCCGACGCAAATTATGTAAATCTCAACACATTTAGGCACACGAGATCAAGGGGAAGCCTAGACCATCATGTTTGTATTTTAAATCCATCCGGAAACTTTATGTTTTCTTGTGGGAACACTACAGCGCAAGTATGTCAATGAACAAAAAAATTTTCATCTTATTAAACTTGTGCAACATGAATTAACCATCCAACGTTAATGAATATGGCGCGCATCTCTACAACAGAACAGCATTTCGTTTTCATCCGTAATTAATTTACATATTCCGCGTCGCTCCAAGTTCGCAATTCATTAATAGAAATCGATCTATAATTGTGCGTATTTCCCATCCAAGTGTTGACAGCGGTGTCTTTATGTTCAGAGGTTCTGCAAAAAAGGATTGAAAGAGTGAAAGGCGTCGATAATGAGAAAATAATCTGCAAACGGTTCTTTTAATTCCAATTAGCGAAAATGGTCGTCAATTACTGACTGTGACTGTTTTGAAGTTTACAAATCGTCTTTCCTAAAACATCATTAACGTTTTGTAAACTTGAAGTCAGTTTAATTACAATATAATGATCTTATAGTTAGAGACTTGCTTTAATATTCCATCGGTTTTGTTAAGTTGCTCTAACATGTTCCAGTTTTGAGTCCCATGTGATAGCAATCATGATAAACTTAGCGTTTTTCAGAAGTATAGAAAACATCATGCAGTTTTAAACCGTTGTTTATACTCGTTGACAGCCGTTTTGCAGAGAAGCTATTTCAGATGTACAAATTGCCGTCTTAAATTACGGCGATGCGTCATTCCATCCATCTTGTCGAGTGGATAAGGTCAAAATTATAAAGCACTCCACAAGCGAAAGGCATTTGATTTTTTTATCATTGAAAGACAGCTTGCGCGTTTGAAGTATGAACTTGCGCGTGTGAAAAAGAATGGCTTAACAGTAAAAGTGATTGAAGTTCTTGTTGATTTGATAGTGAACGTATAATTCAATATTCATAAATTCTCTCCAAAATAATTGTTGAAAAAAAAAATTAAAAGTATCAATTTCCTGTATGTTCTTCTCGAGATAAGTAACTTTATTGATAAATATGCACAGGAAATTTATACTCTTTTCATCTAATTCTTCGCATCGAATGACAAAATAAACAGTTAGCAACAGCTTCAACACTGGACATCTTTTTCTCCTTTATGCATGACGTTCCGGCTTGTATTAATCACTTTGTATCAATGAAGTTTAAATAAATTCAATCCATCTGCCTGGTAATATTCTTTTCATTTTAATTCCAGTGCATTGAAAATATTCAAGGCATTCGAAATGTAGAGGGTTTTGCAATATCTTCGTTTGAAGGTCACAGATGGAACAATCCATCATATCTTGAGACGTAGATGTATTAAGCAAATTCAGCAAGGGGGCCATGAACGTGTCGGCCAAAAGACTTTTGTGGGAGGACACTAATTGGATGTACATTGTCGAGAAATCTATTTATCCATTTCCGTTTTATCAGGTCACTACGTACATCATACATACGGCCAACTTAATCCCACTTGTTAGACGCTCAAGTGCTTGAGCAATAAATAGGATATACTATAGTGTAAACGATGATTTTGCTAAAATATTTGATAATGTGGCTCCCTTTGGTGCCCCTTTAAGGCTTGAATTCTTGCCAGTCGAAAGGTTAATGATCTCGTGTATGTTAGTTTTTAGAAGCTACGTTTCACCTCAGTTATTTCTGATCAACTGAGATTTTTCTACGCCCGTCTTTATGAATTTAAGAAGTACTGGGATTGTTGTCTTTGTCAAATTCCTTGCATATCAGGCATCATTTACAGTGGCCTTGGCTCTTGTATAAAGAAAGCAATGTAAAGACATGCGATACGCGGCTTACGATTCAATAAAAACAGTTCTATGTTAAAAAAATGAATTAAGTCTAGCTATAAAAGCATTGTGTCAACAATGCGAGATCATAAGCATTAACGAATGTTAAACATATTTTTACTTTGAGTAAGAGAGGATGTGCACAAAAAATTTAAACAGAAACTCCACATTCCTGACGAATGCCTTATAAGTAAAATGAGAACGAGGCAATTTCCTTCACATTAGTTATTTTAAGTTTTAACAATTGCATTAAACTCTCTTTGAGAGATCCTGTCATTGATACACGGGTGTTCCCTTGGATAGTTCTGTTTTGGACTATCTATATTCTCCATTTGTCGTTGGTTTTTTTTGAAATTTCGCCCGTTTTGAACGAAAAATTTTGGATTCGGCAGTTTTTGGAGATTCAAAGGAATTCGATAAATATGTGACTGTGTTGTATCTTTCAAACTTACTGACCAGAATAAATACTAGTAATTTAGGATTTAGACAAATCTTTTTGAAGTCACGAAGTATTATTTAGTATTACTTTGTTTCTCTGCCACAAAGTATGTTTTTCAAATTTGAACGTGCATCAAAAAACACCCTTTTATGATCAAGTCTTTGTCATGTATGTTGTATTTGCCAACTGATAGTGTTTGTTGAAATTGTCATAACTTATGCATTTTATACTCCAAGTAAAACATTTTAGATATGATTTGTGCAGTGTGTTGTTGTAAGTCATTTTTGAAGACCTTTCTCTTGAGAAAGAAAGACGCTATTACAGATTGCATGTTTTCTATCACGCTCGAGAATTCCTAACGTGCTTCCTTGTTATCTGAAAAATTTCACACATTACAATCTTTCACAGTTTGTGCGCGATTTATGCAAATTGTTCTAAGGCAAAGCGCGTGAAAACAAACTGAGCTCGCCCTGTTTGTGTGCGGTTTATGCAAATTCATTGCGGGACATCGCGTGTAAAAACAAACTTAGTGCTAAGTCGAGGGATTACAAACAGTTCCGCACAATTTATGCAAACAATTATTTTTACAAACAACATCATAAGTACGTGCTAAAGGCGCGGAAATCGCTCTGATCTCGTTATTAGGAGCGCGGAATCTTTATGTCCCAGTTTGAGTGGTATTTAACCGCGGTCGTGCTCTCCATGACGTACATTTTAAATATCTTTGTCGTGTGGATAATAGAAAATAACATACAGTTGGTGATAGTATGAAATTTCCAGAGTTTTGTGTGTGGGTGGCAAGTTGATAGATAAATGGTGAAATGCTGTAATTGCCTGTTTTATAAGCAGTGTTTATAGGACCTTAATATGACGATCAAATGAAGGCATTTTATTAGTGATTACAAACCGATTTAACTCATAAGTATACAACTTATGATAGGTATGTGGAAAGTTGACGATTGCTTATCGCAATTGCAATTGTTTCAATGCCAATTTTCAGGCTGTTGAAATCGTCGCAGAACTAGATTTTACCAAGCCGAAATGTTTTGTCATCTGTGTGAATCAATAAATGAAAATTAAGAGTTCAACAGATTCCCAGTTAGCTAGCAAATGGACTGCTCGAAGTTTGCTACAGCTTTCAGTATCGCGATCGGAGCTAGATCTTAACACTCGCGAACTTTCTGATGAATTTGACGTGTTCCTAACATTTTTTTACTAGACTTAGACGTACACTTCACATGATTTAGGCAAGATATCATAACACACGTGCTTACAGAGTTTTCCTTCTATATTTAATGTCATAAAAAACAAAATGTTTGAATGAACATGTAAGGATTGCTTTTTAAGATAGCTCTTCAAACAAGTGATTACTATGTAAGTCAATCCGGGCTGTTTAACTTCTACAACACAAGAAAATAGTTTTGTGTGTCGGAATATCTTTGGGCATCTTTTTGTTTGGGTGCGAGCAAAGTTGGCTGTGTGATAGCCGGAAACTACGCTTAAACAGATCCTAACTATTCTCTGACTTTTTGGAGAATAAACATCCTTATCTTCATGATTGTTGTCGGATTGCTGTAAGAGCTCATTTCCACAGCGATATTGATGGTTTAGATAGGCACACAAATTCTTCACCGAGGCAGGAATGAACATTCTCAGAAAAGTAAACTTGCCGAGCTTTTTGTTTAACTAAACTTTGTCACTGAAATGTAGATATTGGAAGTTGTCAAAATTAGTGTGGATTATTAACGGAGGCTAACCACATCACAGTTTAGTTCATCTGTATTCCTTTTCCAGTTGTGTTTTATGTATTTGACTCTTAGCTTATATCAACATGGAATTGGCCCTTTCATCTAACAAAACAAAACAATCATGAAACAAGTTAATATTCGTTTACGATGTTTTCAATTTTTCGTTTCTTTTTACTTATGTAGAGAAGATTTCGACCGAAATTAGATTTGAGATGCACCCCACGACTCGAGGGTGACATGAGATTCTCTTCTGGCGAAGTTCAAGTTTGCAAATCACGACAATGGACGTCCCTGTCCAATCTAATAAACTCGGTTCCTGTAAAAAAGAGTAGTTTACCAAAGTCGTGTCTTGATGCTAAACTACAACGTATGGATAAGGGCAAGGGAAATGGTCTTTACTGGATCAACCCCTCCGGGAAGGACGATCTTGCTAATGCATATGTTGTATATTGTGACATGAATGTCGCGGGGGGTGGTTGGACCCTTGTTGCAAAGATCACCAATGATTATGCGTGGATATGTCCCGAGCGTAAAGGAGCGAGTTGCTTTGGATCGAACGCAGATAAGTTGCGAGCGAATTTGTTTCATCCGTCACACGCGAGAGATTATGTTGACCTGAGGATTTCTAGTGACGAGAACTCAGGAATTCACCTGAAGAAGACGATTACAAGAAAACTTTTTGAAGGTAAGGATTCTTGCATCGCCTATATGAAACACAATATTTTGCAAAAAAGTGTTAACCTCGATTTCGGCCTACTCGTGCTTTGTAACGTCTTCTGACTAATCAACAAGCTCTTACAACTTCTTCCAACCAATCAAGAAGCTCTTGCAACTTCCTCTGACCAATGAACAAGCTTTTGCAACTTCCTCTGACCAATCAACAAGCTCTTGCAACTTCCTCTGACCAATCAACAAGCTCTTGAACTTTTCTGACCAATCACCAATCATCGATGTTCCGAAGATATTCCTGTCAATCACGTTTGCTTTATGCACATTACAGATTAAAGAAAAGTTATACGAACAATAAAATCATTTTACTATGCTTCTTTAGATGGTCTTCAGTCAATACGGTTCACGTTTGTGACTGCAGATAACGGTTGGACTCAAGTGAAGATGCGTATGCCGCATTTAATAAAGAGAAAAAGAACAGTTTGTTTCTCACGGGAGGCTGGTCCGAGTACAGCACTCAACAAGGAGATTATACATGGAACGTTATCAAACAAGAGAGAAAAGAATTCAAATTTACAGGTTCGTTGAAGATTTCTCTTTTTAATATACCGAAGGAATGAATAAGACTGAGAGTTCAAGGAACGTTAACGGCGCTTTTCTCAATGACAAAGTAAATGGTTTGAGCCTGGGAGTATAGTTACATGTTTGTAGATGTAGACCGTCTAGATTGGTGTAGTCCTGAGAAGACTGTGGGTGTTGATGTTGACTAATGTTTGACTCTCTTGTGAACATGACTATTTACCACTAAGGACATCTATAAGTACTTTGACTCTGAAAATGACTACCTCTAAGGACCACTGTTAGTACTTTGACATCCTTGATTCTGAAGATGACTACCACTAAGGACCATTACCAAGTACTTTGACATCCTTGATTCTGAAGATGAGTACCACTAAGGACCATTACTAAGTACTTTGACATCCTTGATTCTGAAGATGAGTACCTCTAAGGACCATTACTTAGTACTTTGACATCCTTGATTCTGAAGATGAGTACCACTAAGGACCATTACTAAGTACTTTGACATCCTTGATTCTGAAGATGAGTACCTCTAAGGACCATTACTTAGTACTTTGACATCCTTGATTCTGAAGATGAGTACCACTAAGGACCACTATAATACTTTGACATCCTTAATTCTGAAGATGACTACCACTAAGGACCACTATAAGTACTTTGACATCCTTGATTCTGAAGATGACTACCACTAAGGACCACTATAAGTACTTTGACACTCTTGATACTAAAGATGTATCCCACTAGGGATCATTTAGGACCATTAAGGATATTGACACCCTTGATTCCGAAAACGACTACCAGTAAGGATGTCGAAACGTCAGTTAACATCAACACCAACAGTCTTTTCCAGAACTGCATTAACCTAGACGATCATCATTTGCTAACATGTCTTCATAAATGACGTTGAACATATTGAACGACAGTTAAACGTGCTCAACAATTGTTGCCTTAAAAACTCTTCTTTTGTTTGCTAAAACAAATGGATTAAACAGGAAAATATAAACGTGCAGTAGAGGCACATCATACGGCAAGCATATATACCTTTTCATAAAATATCTTCTTACAAGACCGTATTAACGAAGTTGAATCATTTTTCAAAATGGATTTTTATGAGTTTTGTTTTTTTTGGTAAATTTGAAACAAATCTTTCTTCATTTTAGGTAGCACACTTTGTTGGGGAGACAACGTTAACGCATCTTATCGTTTTTACGAACATGGCCTTCATTTTGGCAGTCCTTCACTGGGGAAGAAACGTTGTCATCTTGCGAATGATGAGAACGAAGTAATGCTGAAAAGTCATTACACTGTTATGGAAGACGGCACGACCAACATGCGATGGGATCGAGCCCAGTTTGGCTTTTTGAAATCGACATTTTTACAAGTTCCTTGTAAGCGTATTGCAGTATGGATAAGATGAAAACTGCTGTATGTGAATAAAAGCCAGGAAAACAGCAAGAAACATTTTCGACGATATTTAATGCCGTATCTGCCGAGAAACATTGTAATTAGATAAGTGTGACGCAGTTAATGACGTGTGTGTGCATTGTGTTGTCATTGACGTCATTAAGAGTTGATATTGGTTTTGCAGAGGGCATTTAATTGTGATGCGCTAAATAGTACTGATCTGTATGTGTCATAAAAATTTTGCTATGACAGACCTGACGGTATTTTCATCTAAAGATATGTCTTCATTTTAAGTTTTAAAAACTGTTAAACATTCATGTATTTGTCGCTTTTATAATTGTAATTGAATGTGAAGCTTCACTGTTCTTGGAATAGCTTTTATATAATATATATTATTTATATATTATATATAAACTTTATGTTATAAATGGTAAAGTCCAACTTTAGGACAATTGAAATTTAAAGGGCATGCAGGCAGTCCTTCAAAAGTGTTTAACAATATTTCTTAATAAATTATCAAACGTAAATCAATGACTGGGTTGAAAATAGAGAATCCTGCAAAATATTTATTGTCTTTGCATTGTTTTTTTAACCTGACAGAAACTTTAGTAGAATAACTACATATATTCCCCACCTATCTTTATCAAACACAGACTACTTTTGGACAGCTTTCGGGTGGCGAATGTAGTTGCCATAGCAATTAAGAATTCGATCCCAGTCTCTAGCAATAAAGATGTGTGAGCATGTGGTAAAATATATTTCACTTTCATCGTTTTGTACATCTCGATAATTTTATGAATTATTTGGATTCACTAGTTATTCTCCTTGTGGAAACTTCGTGATGTCAATTTTAGATCTGATGTGGGGAGTTGATATCATATAATTTTATTTTTCTTTGTTTTATTGCTGTAAAATCATCATGATAATCTTGGAGTTTTTGGGTAAATTTGCCACGTGTTGTACGTCTGGTTTGTAAAGATAAGACAGCAGAAACACTGGAATGGAATTCATCTTCAATAAATGACAAGGATTTTTAATGAAAACGGCTTCCATATGGCAACATTGGATTTGTATTCATAATACAATGTAAACTTTCATTATACAGTAATATAAATTTTAACAATAACAGTATTGCTTGTGTTTATTTGTTCATTTCAAATGCTGTACAGGGTCACTGTTTAGAACTAATTAATCGAAATGACATTTATTATATTTTTGTTATATATTATAATTGATTATACGTAATTGTATACTGTAATAGACTATATATTACATTGTCTTCTTTTCTATTGGCTTCCTTTTAGGGGTAGGAATAGTTTGCGTCTGCGTCCATTTAATTTTGTTGAAATGTTTCTTTAGTTGTATTTGATTGTGTTATATCATCATTGCACACATGAAGTTCGTTTTTACAGTTTAATGTTTGTAATAACATTAAATGATTGAATAATCCCAGTTTGTAATTAATAATGCCTTGGATTTTAGATATTTTATCCTGAGATGTTGCACTTATAAATGGAAGAATGAAATATATGATGGATTACCACAAAACCACAGAAATCTAACCAATCAAGGTAAATTGTATACAGTTTCAAAGCTTTTTTGATTACAAGAAAGACTACTATAAATTATAAAGTAGAATGGAATATTTGTGTAAGAATATCACGCTTTAAACATTGTCTTTCATCAACTTTGGGGAACTTTCCCATTAATTAAATTTTAAAAGGCAAGGCACAGCTATAATGCGATTTAAAGTGATTTGACTACAAAATAGACAAATTGGCAGTATTTACCGCATATTTTGATGTTTTGATCATAAGAAAGCAGGTTTAGAAAGTTAACCTTCACAATGTGTATATTAATGTTTTCGCAAAGTACATTTATTTACAAATTCCATACATACTTGTCAGAGTAATAGCAGCTGTCGAATTGCTAGTATGCTCAGTGAGACAATCGCAAGGGCACTGACTTCAAAGGCTCTAACACTAAGTTGTCCTTCTGTTCATTTCCTATTCTGTGCCGGTACTGTAACTTGAAAGATAGTCTTTGCTGGATGTTTTGAAAGAATGCCGGTTTTCAACTTATTTGAAAAGCTATGTAGTAATACTGAAGTGAAAGTCTATCTAATGTAAGTGAAGTTAAAGTATAATTTCACAGACAAGAAAATGATAAAGTTAGATTGTAGGTTACAAATTGTATTTAGGTAACAAAATAGGAAAGAGTAACAATTTACAAAAATTCTTGTGATTGATTATAAAATTGTCACACACAGACACGGAATTCAAACTATAAAGAAAAACTGTTAGTTGAGACATGATGTAAAATGTTATCACAGACGAGCACCCGTAATGTTCAGTTTACTTCACAAGAACACTGAGTTGTAGACTAGTAGCTGCGTGATTTAAGCCACGAACCAGTAAACCAAAATGGCGGCGATTTGCAAAGTTAGTGACAGCATCAAAGATGGCGCTGCACTTGGTGTCGTCGAAGGTGACGATGTGTTTGTTGTCATTGTCGAAGATGGCGATGGACTTGGTGTCATTGTCAAAGATGGCGCTGCACTTGGTTTCAGTGGTCCATTAAGACAATTAAAATAATTTCCATATGATCCAACATATTCTTTAACAGATGCACCATTATACCTCACCAATCTTTCTACATTTTTGTATGCTATTCCAGCTGCCGTTAACTTAGTGATATTAACTCCTTCCAACATATTTCGGATGCTTTTGATTGTTTGAGACGATGTTGATTTACCAGTGACAATGGCGTACAATGGTCTTGTTCCGATGTGGCACTTTCTGTATTGATTCATACCTATATGAAATGAAACAATTGTTAGTGGAAAATTTCAGACGCACGGAAATAGCTACTCTCGCCTTTAACGTTGATTTTAGCCTCTTACTAAATCTTAAACTTTTGTGTAAGACAAGATCTTTATCAAATGTCGCTCAGTATATTGGGGATCTCAAAATTACGTCTCCAAAGGATGCGTGCTACTATTTCATATCTCTGCGGTGTTGAGGTGATGCAGAAACAACTCAAGAAAAGACAAGAAAATAAAGGGAATTGTGAGAGGCTAGGAGATTTCTCGGCTATTGGGCTTATGACAGTTTTTGCTTCAAATTCAACTCTGTTCATTTTTGCGTTTAAAGACTTCCTCCGATTGAGATATTTTTCAAAACTTACCAGCTGTAGTTCCATTTGGACAAAGTAGTTTGTAATCTTTAAGTGCACCATAACTGGGATATTTAGCTAAAAACTCCATTGCTGTTGTTTGCTTCACAAAACCAACACGATCATTGTTACCATCAGCCATACATTTGAAAGCTCCCATATAGTCATAGTATGGCTCAGTTGAGTTTTAGCGCATGTTCCGTTACACAAAGAGCAAAGATCTGTCTTCACAGCGTCGCTGATTTCCTCGATGTCATTGATACCTAAACATGGATATCAATCTATTTCACGGAATTCTGTAACAATGTCTCAGCTGGGCTCATAGCTAGAGATTTTATTGCGAAATATCATTGCTACTCTGAATATTTTAACAATCACGTTTGCTGGTGCTCAAAAGCCTGTTGGTTTGCTTGTGATTAAATGGCAAATACTTAATGCTGTTTGTTGGATTGAATTAAAAATATGGTCATGCAATGCTCGCGGTCAGCGGTCGGAAAATATTGATTTGTCGGGTTGTTTGTGTTTACGTTTTTTTTGGGTTTATGCACCTTTTTCACGTTGCTGTGGACACCGCTGTACGGCTAAATGTCGTTCGTTTAGTAGAGGCGTAATATACCCAAAGACTTGATCTTTGACAACTTTCTCGTGATAAATTTAATATCCATTTTAAACTAGGTATATTAAGGTGAGTATACTGTCAACCATGAAGTAGAATTGAATACATATTTAATGTAAAAAATAACTTACCTGGTGCACAACTTTCAGCAAAGAAGTCCGAAACAGATTTATACTGGTTGTCTGTGTATGTCATTATTTTATTGCAAATCATGTAACCAACAGGGATTTTCCAACCGACAGTTTTTCCTACACCAGTATGGCAGGATTTTTGATTCTGCAGGGAGTTGAAATTAAAAGTAGTTCCTTTCTTGACGACAGCCAGACCGTAATATTGAATAAATCTGCCGAGCCCTGGTAGTTTTTGTCCAATGACAATTTGGAGATTTTCAGCTGAAGAAGAGGAAAGATACATGCAGTAAAACTTTACATACAGTTAAAGTATGTGGCCAATGTCGTATCTGCGTGTCTACATTATTCGTCCAGAATGATTTAATACGGTAACTGGAAGGTTAGGATAAAGATTTTTGCTCAACATAAAAATTCATTGACATTTCAGTCCTGGCTAATTATTGCCTAAAACATTGGATTGTTTACAATTGAAAGAATGATTCGTTTATAAATATTCCTGTAGGTATACTACACTAAATACAATGATAAACAAGTTAATTTCTTACCGTTCTGGACCATGTGATCAGCTGCAGCCATAGTCATATTTGCTCGACCGTTCACAACATCTTCAACGCAACTTGAACCGGATGTTGCTGCTTGACATGTGACACTTATGTTTAGATTGGCGTTATTACATGCAGTTACGTCTTCGACACAAACTACAAGAAAAGTGCAAAGGTGTTAAAATTGAATTGATACAAGTTTCAGCTTTTTATAGATCCAGAAATGTCCAAAACTTTGAATCGGTCATTTAACTTTAAAGGTTTTCGCCTCCCCACCCTCCCCTTGTCCAAGATTAAGTCTACCACACATGTGTCAAATCGGTAAAAGCTTTGGAGATCATCACACCTATTGGGGTACATTGAAGGAGGCCCATGAATGATGAAGGAAAATAAGATCACCCACAATAATTCTGACGCGCTTCAAATGAACAAAATGCCGTAGGAACAAAATGCCGTTGGGGGTGAGTTGTGGAATGAATAGGGGCTGGTGCAAATGACTTATATTCGTCAGTTTGTTACTAAATCTTTCTACGCATAACATCGGTGGCCTAGCCTGCTTTGATTCAGCGAAAGTTGTGCTGTCCAGTCGAGTTCATGCCCCAACAAAACGATGATGAGTTTAGTGACCGCGCGTTTTTGTCGACTCATTTTGGTTGCGTTTCGTGATTGTTGCTCGTGAGCAATCGTGGCCGCTAAATGGTTGATTTCTTATCTCATGAAATACTTCAAGACTTACCCACTCCGAACGCAATTAAGTTTTGAAAAATGAATATCGACAATATTCCGAAGTGAACAAGCGAATTGTCTTTAGTAATGCATTGCACAACATTCATCAGAAAAGTTATTTTTGTGTACGCAATACCGAGAAAACATGTCCAACCGCTTGAGGTTTCTCTAAAATTCTTTTTTTATTATATTTCCTATATAAGGGTTCCATAATTTGGAATTCAAAGGCCTTTCATTTCAATCAATAGCGAGAGAAACCACTTAAATTTATATTGTCTACAGACATCCTGTGTTTACAGACATGCAATATACAGTCATCTGTATACGTTGTGTTGAGATTTCAAATTGGATGATTTCTTTGAATTTAGGTGCTGTTGGCCATTGTTTTGTGTATCATGTGTTTTTTTCGCTTTCATATACAACAGGATTAGTGACCAGTCTCCACGGTTTTTACACGTTTGTTGTACCCATTGTTGTATTGCAAATTTGCCACCAACTTCCACGGAATTATGGAATTAACAAACAAAGTGTCCCCCTCACGACAGCTACTGATCACATTAGCATTGATAACACATTCTTTTGTAGGAGACCTCCAACATAGGAGCTTTTATATTACATGCCAACCACCTATACTGGAACTAGACTGCTGTTTGAACGTTAAAAAACGTGAGGTTTAACATGATAAGTTTCCAAGTTGATAAGCAAAGAGTTCGAAGAGCGCACGTTTTGACAGATCTCAGTGATTCTCAAAAACGAAACAAGATTTAAGCTTCATATTGAATTATTGTGTGACTAAAATTAATCAACATGATCTACGTGATATTACAGATTGTCAATATGCAAAAATCTAACTTATTGAAAAAAAGCTTCATGGGCGTTCTGTATGGAATTCAATTTCAACAAGTTATCAGAGATAGCAAAAGTGTGTCAATTTTACAAAATAGAATTGCCCCTTGCATTTTATGATTTTGTTTAGTTTGTAATTAATGATAGAACTAAGCTTTGTTAATATCTAAACATCTCAACCTATCTTTTACCTCTATAGTTATTTGTTATCTCTGTGTTTTATCTCTATAGCGGTTTTATTGCGTTGTAATTTTTGTAATTGTATTTGCACAAAAGCACGCCAGGCGTTGAAATCAACGTCATTTGACAACGCCATTTGAAAATTTTATTCATTCATTCATTCATGGAATTCAAATTTGTTTACTACATCGACAGGCCTTGTTCCTTAATCTTTTGCTATGGGAGACGATGGTCTTCTCAATGCGTGAAAATGACTTGCGTTTCTTCAAAATTTAGTGTTTGAAGCAAACTAATTTGATATTCATGCGTGAATCTGAGTAATGTTGTGAACGCCTTAAAAGACAAGTCGATAGCCAACACACTCACAACTTTTATGAATTTATTCATCTCTGTATCACATACAGATAAACGTGCTCGACAAAAGAACACGTGTATATTCATATATTCAGTTGTGCCCTACTGATGTCTTTCGAAATTCAATTTACTTCCAAAAGTAATTAAGGAGTATATGAATATGCACCCTTCCTCCCAAATAACGTTCCAGGTACGCCTCTGCTTTCGGCAAATATATTTTGTAAATAATTATGTTTGCTGTAATACACATTATATACGTCTCAGTTTTGCTTCGTTACATAATATTTGCAGCGTACCGCAATGCCTTTGACTGGAAATGAAAGTACAGACGAATTATCTGACACGTATGCAACTGGCAAATATACGTGTCAAAGTGCACGTAGCAGTGGCAATTGAAGCTATTGTCAAAGCACATGTTCGGTAGTCGCCTAACACATGCTTATCTCTCGCATTAAGCTTCCCTGCGTGTGTAGAACAAATCATTAGTTCATTAATACAGCACTACTGATTTCAAACATCTGGCTTCCGTGTTAATTAATCAGTTTCACAACCTTACCTGTGTAGTGATAATCAGCAGCCACGAAGGAATTGACCAGTGCAAATAATATCGCTGCTTGTCGATACATTTTTTGACGAGAAATGGTTTCTCTGAGAATTTCTGGATAATTGCTTGTGAAGAGGTTGATCAGTGCTTTACGTAACGCCTGTTACGACAAGTGTCACCGTCAGCTTGGTAAGGTGTATTTGTATGAATCTCGTACCGAAGCCTCATCCAATGAGAATAGAGATAACACTAATTGCTACATTACTCTCTATTGCTATTGGCTTGAACTACAATACCATTTAAAGCTTCAACTGTAGGAAACGCCATGAATTCCTACTTCCAAGAACTGCTCTCATATGCATTAATATTGCATGATTAAATATTGTCAATTTGTGGAACAATATTGATGCAATTGAATTCAATGAGTCAGGGGGTGTTTACATGAATCCGGAATGACTTTCAATTCTGATCAAAACGTGATGTCAATCTGTGTTTACATGGGAAATCAACACAAGGATTGACATTTTGCAGGAATTTTGAATTTGAAGATGGCGAACATAAACATTATAGCAACCCTTTTTTTTCTGTTGCTCCTGAGTTAATCAGCTTAACACTTGCATGAAACTAATTGTTGTTTTTCTTCGCACTCATTTTAGCCCATTTAGCCGCCTTATTTGCTCACGAGCTTCAATTTCCCAGAAGACACTACGCATGGCTCATGCGTGCTTCGTCATTAATCACAATCTCATTCCAGAATGAAACTCAGCTCGTGTTTACATGAGATTAAAACTAAATCTCGATCCGGAATGAAAATAGGAATGAAGTCGATCCCGATCGAGTTGTGACTCATTCCGTATTCATGTAAACATGCAGTAGGATTTCTTTTAAAATGGAATGAGTTCATTACGGATCGAACGTCATTCCGGATTCATGTAAACAGCCCTTTATATGTAAATAGGAGATTATACATGGAACGTTATTAAACAAGAGAGAAAAGAATTCAAATTTACATTTTCGTTCAAGATTTCTCTTTTTAATATACCGAAGGAATGAATAAGACTGAGAGTTCAAGGAACATTAACGGCGCTTTTCTCAATGACAAAGTAAATGGTTTGAGCCTGGGAGTATAGTTACATGTTTGTAGATGTAGACCGTCTAGGTTGGTGTAGTCCTGAGAAGACTGTGGGTGTTGATGTTGACTAATGTTTGACTCTCTTGTGAACCTGACTATATACCACTAAGGACATCTATAAGTACTTTGACATCCTTGATTCTGAAGATGACTACCACTAAGGACCACTATAAGTACTTTGAGATCCTTGATTCTGAAGATAAGTACCACTAAGGACCATTACTAAGTACTTTGACATCCTTGATTCTGAAGATGAGTACCACTAAGGACCACTATAAGTACTTTGACATCCTTGATTCTGAAGATGAGTACCACTAAGGGCCATTACTAAGTACTTTGACATCCTTGATTCTGAAGATGACTACCACTAAGGACCACTATAAGTACTTTGACATCCTTAATTCTGAAGATGACTACCACTAAGGATCACTAAGTACTTTGACATCCTTGATTCTGAAGATGACTACCACTAAGGACCTCTATAAGTACTTTGACACTCTTGATACTGAAGATGTATACCACTAAGGATCATTTAGGACCATTTAGGATATTGACACCCTTGATTCCGAAAACGACTACCAGTAAGAATGTCGAAACGTCAGTCAACATCAACACCAACAGTCTTTTCCAGAACTGCATTAACCTAGACGATCATCGTTTGCTGACATGTCTTCATAAATGACGTTGAGCGTATTGAACGACAGTTAAACGTGCTCAACAATTGTTGCCTTAAAAACTCTTCTTTTGTTTGCTAAAACAAATGGATTTAACAAGAAAATATAAACGTGCAGTAGAGGCACATCATACGGCAAGCATATATACCTTTTCATAAAATATCTCCTTATAAGGCCGTATTCACGAAGTTGAATCGTTTTTCAAAATGGATTTTTATGAGTTTTGTTTGTTTTGGTAAATTTGAAACAAATCTTTCTTCATTTCAGGTAGCACACTTTGTTGGGGAGACAACGTCAACGCATCTTATCGTTTTTACGAACATGGCCTTCATTTTGGCAGTCCTTCACTGGGGAAGAAACGTTGTCATCTTGCGAATGATGAGAACGAAGTAATGCTGAAAAGTCATTACACTGTTATGGAAGACGGCACGACCAACATGCGATGGGATCGAGCCCAGTTTGGCTTTTTGAAATCGACATTTTTACAAGTTCCTTGTAAGCGTATTGCAGTATGGATAAGATGAAAACTGCTGTATGTGAATAAAAGCCAGGAAAACAGCAAGAAACATTTTCGACGATATTTAATGCCGTATCTGCCGAGAAACATTGTAATTAGATAAGTGTGACGCAGTTAATGACGTATGTGTGCATTGTGTTGTCATTGACGTCATTAAGAGTTGATATTGGTTTTGCAGAGGGCATTTAATTATGATGCGCTAAATAGTATTGATCTGTATGTGTCATAAAAATTTTGCTATGACAGACCTGACGGTATTTTCATCTAAAGATATGTCTTCATTTTAAGTTTTAAAAAACTGTTAAACATTCATGTATTTGTCGCTTTTTATAATTGTAATTGAGTGTGAGAGCTTCACTGTCCTTGGAATAGCTTTTATATAATATATATTATTTATATATTATATATAAACTTTATGTTATAAATGGTGAAGTCCAACTTTAGGACAATTGAAATTTAAAGGGCATGCAGGCAGTCCTTCAAAAAGTGTTTAACTATATTTCTTAATAAATTATCAAACGTAAATCAATGACTGGGTTAAAAGTAGAGAATCCTGCAAAATATTTATTGTCTTTGCATTGTTTTTTTAACCTGACAGAAACTTTAGTAGGATAACTAGATATATTCCCCACCTATCTTTATCAAACACAGACTACTTTTGGACAGCTTTCGGGTGCGAATATAGTTGCCATAGCAATTAAGAATTCGATCCCAGTCTCTAGCAATAAAGATGTGTGAGCATGTGGTAAAATATATTTCACTTTAATCGTTTTGTACATCTCGACAATTTTATGAATTATTTGGATACAATAGCTATTCTCATTGTGGAAACTTCGTGATGTCAATTTTAGATCTGATGTGGTGAGTTGATAACAGATAATTTTATTTTTCTTTGTTATATTGCTGTAAAATCATGATGATAATCTTGGAGTTTTTGGGTAAATTTGCCACGTGTTGTACGTCTTGTTTGTAAAGATAAGACAGCAGAAACACTGGAATGGAATTTATCTTAAATAAATGACAACGATTTTTAATGAAAACGGCTTCCATATGACAACATTGGATTTGTATTCATAATGTAATATAAACTTTCTTACTTTCATGATTGACTATTTAGTAATAACAATAACAGTACTGTGTCTACAGCTTCATTGAAAATACTTTTTATAACTAATTGATCTAAAGGACAATTTTATCATGTTTTTGTTTTGTGCTATATTTGATTATGTTATATTATATTGTCTTATTTCCGTTTTGGCTTCCTTTCTAAGGCTGTGGGCTTAGTGAGCATCTTCCTCCATATATTTTTGTTCAAACATTGCTTGTATTTTATTTTCTTATGTTATATAATCATTGCACACATGAAGTTTGTGTGTTTGTGTAGTGTTATGTTTATAGTGGCATTTAATAATTAATCACAGTTTGTCATTAATTATGCCTTGGATTTTAGATGTTTAATCCTAAAATGTTGTACTTTGAAATGAAAGAATGAATTATATCATTGACAAAACCACTGAAATCTTATCAATCAAGGTAAATTGCATGCAGTTTCAGAGCATTTTTGATCACGAGAAAGTGAAAAATTGCATAGAAAAGTTTGTTGGTTCAGCCGCAACACTACCTCAATGAAGAGATATTGTTCTCGCTGAACATTTGAGAGAATTTCGAGGTTTCCACTAAAAACATATTAAGTTTTATTTGATTAGTTTTCCTCCAGTACTGTAACTCTAGATCATTTAAATAATGGTCTTTGCTGAATGTTGAGAAAGAATAATTTTCAACATGTTTGAAAAACTATCTAGCGTAATTGAAGTTAAAATTTATCAAACATGCATTCCAATTTATTTGGACTCGATTTTATTGCGCGCGTCACCTATGTGTCGAATAAAAGCCAAAGTTCCCGACATGTACACGATCGTAAATGATCGGTGTGACGTAGTAGTTCTCATTCGCGCCAATTGTGAGTATAGACATTTATACAAAGATATTACTTTTGGATTGATGGTTTGATAAAAGTTTATAACTTTCGCTTTAATGTACTGTGAACTACGTCTAAGATTACATAAAAGCAAGGTTTCTCTTTCCATCGTTTCCCAAAGAGGAGGTATTGTAAGATAAATGTGTAAAGAGAGACGCTTTCATTTAAGAAAATATCGTTGCGACCAAATTTCGGCAAGAAGGACTTACGTAAGCTCGAAGGTAAATGATTTATTGAAATAGCGAGCTAAAATATGCGAAGTTTTGTGGCTTGTGTCAGGTATTTTGACGTGTTTTATCAACAGTGCGTACTTGTTGCTTGCCTTTTCTGTTGTTTTGTATCTATTGTAATTGTCCAAGATTAGTTGTTTAGTTCTGTCCTATATTGCTTTGATATTTTTCCTGCTAACTGCGGAATTTTGAAAAGATCAAACCTGCTTTACTTCGCAATGTTTCAAACAACTAAAATTTCAACATGCAACGTTGAACAACGAATTGTATGGTACAGTTTCGTGTCATAACTTTTACTGATTTCTTTGTTTCCACTCTCATTCCCCCCTTCCCCCTCTTCTGCCATCTTCAGTGCGGTATAAGAATGAATATTTGAATGGAGTTAATATATAAAGAAATCTGATACAAGACATGTGTATAGACAAAAGGGATGGAAGCGGAAGTTACTTACAAGTTAAAGATAGTATTGACATGCTTAATTTGTTTGTTAAGATTAGGTTTGGGTTTTTTGATGTACAATGCTTCTTTTAGTTTGGGCACTAAAAGCAAATTCAGGCTTGGAGTGTGGGCACTAACATACGAAAGCATGATTGTGAGTATTTACATTTCCACTCTCTTTCCCCCCTTCCCCCCTCTGCTTCTGCTTACGAAATTGCTCAGAAATGATGAACACCATAAAGGTTGGTTGTGGTAACAAATGGTAATTATGTAATAAACGTAACAAGATTAATTACACAATTGTGAAACAAAATCGTAGCTTAAAACGTGCTATGAAAAAAAACACACTAATTTGCGCAAAGTCCTATGCGCGACATAACATAAAATGTTATCATCACCAAGGAGTATCCGTAATGTCTGGGCTTTTTTCATAACGACGTCATATGATGGCAGCTGTCTAACTGCGGTGCTCAAGCCACGAGCCAGAAAACAAAAATGGCAGTGACTTGCAACGCTAGTGACAACATCAAAGATGGCGCTGCACTCATAGCAAGAGCATTAAAATAATTTCCATATGATCCAACATATTCTTTAACAGATGCACCATTATACTTCACAATCTTTCTACATTTTGTATGCTATTCCAGCTGCCGTTAAATTCCTGACATCAACTCCTAGCAACATATTTTGGATTCGTGTGATTGTTTCAGACGATGTTGATTTCCCAGTGACAATGGCGTACAATGGTCTCGTTCCGATGTAGCATGTTTTGTATTGATTCAAAGCTATATGAAATAAAACCATAGTTTGTGGAAAATTTCAGACCCACAGAAATACTATCTCATCAGCTGTAAACGTTGATGTAAACCTTCCTTTCTGAAGTGAAATATTAAAGTTTGGACCATAGGCAGCCCATAACTACGGGTTTCTTGTAATAAATATGAAATAATTAACCTTTCTTACTCCTGAGGAACTTGATGACTTCAACAATTTGTCTCGCATTGATCGATGAGCCTCTTGCGACGTTACTGTGACGTGTAGTGTTATTACTAAACTGATAAGACTACACGTCACACTTACGTCGCGCGAGGTTGCTCGATTAATGCAAGACAAATTGTTGAAGTCATCAAGTTCCTCAGGAGTAAAAAGGTTAATTATTTCGTATTTACGAAAAACATGTAGTTATGGGGTGCCCATGTTTGGACAAGGTTTTATCAAACATCGCAGCAAAGATCTTCATCAAAATTGCACTTGAGGATGAGTGTTATCAGTGTTAGGTTTGAATGAACTCCACTCTCAATTAAAGTATTTTTCAAAACTTACCAGCCTTTGTTCCATTAGGGCAGAGAAGTTCGTAGTCTGCCATAGTTGTGCCTCTATAATCGGATTTGCCACTAAAAAAGTTTTCAGCGGTCGATTCCCTTACAAAACCAACGCGATCATTGTTACCATCGGCCATACATTTGAAAGCACCTTCGTAGCTGTAGTATGCCTCTGTAGAAGAATCTTGTGCGCATGATCCGTTACACAAAGAGCAAAGATCTCTCTTCACTGCGTCACTGACTCCTGGGATGTCATTAATACCTGAATATGGACAAATGGACATGAGATTTCCTTGCAAAATATCATTTTCAGTCTGGATTACTTTTACATTCACAATTGATAGCGCTCAAAAGCCTGTTGGTTAACTTTTGAGTAAGTACACTGACGAAGAAAAGTTTAGCAAAAGCTTAATGTAGTTTGTCATTTTTCTAAATATGTCATTGCGATGTTGTTATTGCGAGGTTGTTATTGCTTCATTAATTCTCTTTTCCTTGCAGCTAAGGACACCACTGTACAGATAAATGTCATTTACACTTTGCTTTAGGCTACCCTAAAAAACTCGCTTTTTGGCAACTTTGTCTGTGATGATTTTAAAATCAATTTTAAACAAAGTTAGATAAGTACACTCTCATCTAACCATGTAGTAAAACTGACTAATTAGTAATTAAAAGATATCTTACCAGGTGCACAACTTTGACCGAAGAAATCCGAAGCAGATTTATACTGGTTGTCTGTATATGTCATTATTTTATTAAAGAGCATGTAACCAACAGGGATTTTCCAACCGACAGTTTTTTTTACACCAGTATGGCAGGATTTTTGATTCCGCAGGGAGTTGAAATTAAAAGTTGTATTTTTCTTCACGACAGCCAAACCGTAATATTGAATAAAGTTGTAGAGGTCTGGTAGTTTTTGACCAATGACAATTTGGAGATTGTCAGCTAAAAACGAGAAAATATTTGGTAAATTTTTCCATACGATAAAAGTATGTGCTCAATGTCATACATTCATGTCTACATTCTTTAGGCATATTGATCTAATATGGAAACTGGAGTGTTTGTATAGTTTATGAATACATATGAAAATCAATGCTTAACGTAAACATTTAAGTTCAGATGTGTGATATAAGTAAGATTTTACACCTGGCAAATGTTTTCCTGAAACTTTGAAAGTTTATGATAATTTAAAGAATGAATCGTATATGAATGCTCCAGTTTGTACTAAATAATAGAATGATAAATAAATGGATTTCTTACCATATTTAACCATGTCATCAGCTGAGGCCAATGTCATAACTGCCTGACCGTTCACAACATCTTTAATGCAAGTTGAACCGGATGTTGCTCCTTGACACGTGACATTTATGGTTAGACCTGCGTTATTACACGCAGCTACGTTGCTGACACAAACTACATGGAGAGAGCAAACGTGTTATAAATGAATTTTTAGAAGATTCAGCTTACATATACAAGAAAGTGAAAACATTCTCATAGTTAGACTTTTACAGTTTTCAAAAATATCAAAAAGGTGCAAAACTTTGAAATGGTAATTCAACTTGGAATTCTTTTCCCAACACCTCATCTGGCTGGAATAATGGCCGACATGAGGACGCGTTGTACACCTGAGTGACCCTTCTGTATAATCAATATTCTGTGATTGGGGGGCAAAATGACGTACATTTCGTGATCGTGGCACGCGAGCGACAGTGGCCACACTAAAGAATTAGATTTTTGATCTTCGGAAATTTTAGCGCTTACTTACTGTGGAAAACAGCAAAGTTTCAAAGAAATAGATATTGTTAATGCTCCAAAGTGAAGGTGGGAACTGTCTTTTGCCCGACATCGAAAACATTATTTTTGTTGAAGCTTATGAGTGTATTAAAATGCCAAACGCTGGGATTTTAAAAAAGGCTCTTTGTTTATAATTTTTTTAATAATTCCTATAAGTGCTCCGGCCATAAGTGTTTCATAACTTTATGAATTCAAAGATCTTTCATCGCAATCAATAGCGAGAGAAACCACTTAAATTTAAATTGTCTACAGACATCCTGTGTTTACCGACATGCAATATGCAGTCATTTGCATGCGTTGTGTTGAGATTTCAAACTGGATGATTTCTTTGAATTTAGGTGCTGTTGGCCATTGTTTTGTGTATCATGTGTTTTTTCGCTTTCACATACAACAGCATTAGTGACCAGTCTCCACGGTTTTTACACGTTTGTTGTACCCATTGTTGTATTGCAAATTTGCCACCAACTTCCACGGAATTATGGAATTAACAAGCAAAGTGTCCCCCCCTCACGACAGCTACTGACACATTAGCATTAATAACACATTCTTTTGTAGGAGACATCCAACATAGGAGCTTTTATATTACATGCAAACCACCTATACTAGAACTAGACTGCTGTTTGAACGTTAAAAAACGTGAGGTTTAACATGATAAGTTTCCAAGTTCATAAACAAAGAGTTCGGAGCACGTTTTGACAGATCTCAGTGATTCTCAAAAACGAAACAAACATTTAAGCTTCATATTTAATTATTGTGTGACTAACATTAATCAACGTATTCTACGTGATGTTACGAATTGTCAATATGCAAAACACTAACTCATTGAAGAAAAGCTTCATGTGGCTTCTGTATGGAATTCAATTCCAACGAGATATCAGAGATAGCAAAAATGTGTCACTTTTACAAAATAGTATTGCCACTTGCATTTTATGATTTTGTTAAGTTTGTAATTAATGATAGAACTAAGCTTTGTTAATATCTAAACATCTAAACCTATCTTTTACCTCTATAGTTATTTGTTATCTCTATGTTTTATCTCTATAGCGGTTTTATTGCGTTGTAATTTTGTAATTGTATTTGCACAAAAGCACGCCACTCGTTAAAATCAACGTCATTTGACAACGCCATTTGAAAATTTTATTCATTCATTCATTCATGGAATTCAAATTTGTTTACTACATCGACAGGCCTTGTTCCTTAATCCTTTGCTATGGGAGACGATGGCCTTCTCAATGCGTGAAACTGACTTGCGTTTCTTCAAAATTTAGTGTTTGAAGCAAACTAATTTGATATGCATGCGTGAATCTGAGTAATGTTGTGAACGCCTTAAAAGACAAGTCGATAGCCAACACACTCACAACTTTTATGAATTTATTTATCTCTGTATCACATACAGATAAACGTGCTCCACAAAAGAACACGTGTATATTCATATATTCAGTTGTGCCCTACTGATGTCTTTCGAAATTCAAATTACTTCCAAAAGTAATTAAGGAGTATATGAATATGCACCCTCCCATCCCACCCCAAATAACGTTCCAGGTACGCCTCTGCTTTCGGCAAATATATTTTGTAAATAATTATGTTTGCTGTAATACACATTATATACGTCTCAGTTTTGCTTGCTTACATGATATTTACAGCGTACCGCAATGCCTTCGACTGGAAATGAAAGTACTGACGCCAATTATCTGACACGTATGCAACTGGCAACTATACGTGTCAAAGTGCACGCAGCAGTTGCAATTGAAGCTATTGTCAAAGCACATGTTCAGTAGTCGCCTAATGCATGCTTATCTCTTGCATTAAACTTCCCTGCGTATGTACAACAAATCATTAGTTCATTAATACGGCAATACTGATTTCAAACATCTGGCTTCCTTGTTAATTAATCAGTTTCTCAACCTTACCTGTGTAGGGAATGTGATGATCAGCAACCACGAAGCAAATGACCAATGCAAATAATATCGCTGCTTGTCGATACATTTTTTGACGAGAAATGGTTCTTCAGAGAATTTCTGGATAACTGCTTGTGAAGAGGTTGATCAGTGCTTTACGTAACGCCTGTTCGGACAAGTGTCACCGTCAGCTTGTTTAGGTGTATTTGTATGAATCTCGTACTGAAGCCTCATCCAATGAGAATAGAGATAACGTTAATGGCTACATTACTGTTTATTGCTATTGGCTTGAACTACAATACCAACTGTAGGAAACGCCATGAATTTCCCTTCCAAGAACTGCGCTCATATGCATTAATATTGCAGGATTAATATCGTCAACTTGAGGAACAATATTGATGCAATTGAATTCAATGAGTCATATGTAAAATTCTCAATATCTGCGATCTATTTGAAAAACAATCGTTGAATGAGGGGGCGTTTTTTTGCAAATATGCTAAATCACTGCTTTCTTTTTGCTTATTTGACATATTTTGCATGGATCTTTGGCACAAAATTGTCGTGAAATTTCAAAGGAATTTCTCTCAAGGTTTTTACAACAAGTAACATCGCGGCCATTACTTCTACATTGTGGAAAATTGGTTGACGATAGATAGCCAGCACAATAGCCATTTGATAAAAGAATCCATTGGAATGAAGCATTTTTAATATTAAGTAGAGCACTGGCTAATTACACGGATAAAGTTAACACGGATACAAGTAACACGGATATAGCGAGCGCGGGTAAGAATAATTGTTCACTTACATAATTTTACCGATATCTACCATTGAATTTTCCTTTGTGACCGACTTAATACTGTTATTGAGGATATTATTTCTCCACAGGTTCATGACATATATAAAACATAAATAAATAACGAACAATGTCTCTTACACGCAATGGTTCGCTTATTAGACCCCAGATAATTTTTCTCTTTCAACCTAGAATGGTCCAAACGTAAGTCTTAATCACTTAATTACTTGTTCCCACTTCTCAGACACAATAATAATACCGAATGCAGTATCTTGCTTTAGCTGTCAAAATTCTTTTAAATCTAGCAGCTCAAAGGTCTTTATTATTTCTTATATGAAAAGATCGCGACGTCTTCAAGGAAGATTTTTTCATGGGCATTTTTTTTCTTTGCCAAACGACATGTGGTAGGACGAAGCAATCATTAACACGGGACGTTTGTGAGACAAGTTTTTTGCACTAAAGTTCTCTTTGCAAGATCAAAATATAGTTTACAATTGAAATTGCCTGTTCATACTTCAAATCATAAGACCAGTCATGTGTTATGTAAAAAACCTAAGTGCCTCACAACAAAATGTATCAAATAAATTTATTGTGTTTTCGTTCGTTCTGTTTTTTGATATAATAAGCTAATATAACTTTGAATATCCCTGAAGTATGTACTGAAGTAGTGGCATTCTTACGGTACGTTTTCCCGATATCCGTGTTACCGTTATCCGTGTTTTTAGTCCAGTCAAACCATATTGCGGGAAATTACTGCGCTTTTTTTTGGCATTAAAGGTCTTTATTGTATAGCAATTGTAAATCGCTATGGTAACATAACGAATGGGCAAAATTAGAGGGATTGAACATTTTTTAAAGCTAAAACTAGTTTTATAGAGTTTATAACGTCGGGTGATTATATCTTGTCGGTAAATGATCATTTTTTTAACAATCTCATTACCAACTTGAGGGTTTATTTTTGCTGTGTAAATATGAAATCAATTTGCATTATTCAATTCCTTAGAATTGGTCAATTTTACAGTCAGTGAACACACAGCTCTGTTTACAAAGTGAGCGCAAAAGGTAAGTTCAACACTATGCAAATATTTATGCTTACAACATAGCCAGATTTTGTATTGTTTATTCCCCCAAAAAAATTGTAAATAAAACTCCCGAGAAGAAAAGCACGCCTGCACCATTATCTCAGCTTGCTGTCCTTTACCATATAGCTATCAGCATGCGATAAGTATGTATTGTGTATAGAAGAAATCCTTGCCTTATTTGAATTAATTTAGCAAACAACGATCGTCGGTAATTATATAACAGACAAGAATCTAATACAACGATTTTCATTCGCCAAATCTCGCATTTTCATTAAACGCTTACGTTTTAACGTAAGCCTGTATTGATAGTTGTAAGACTCGAACAAGAGCCAGAATTACAATAAGAAAAGATATTGTGAACGTTCAACTGTTTTAGTTTTAATAATTGAAGATACCGACACATCTTTATCACAAAGATGTAGAGAGCAGACAGTGTCTGAAATTAGAGTTATCATCAATCTCAGTCGTTTCCGATTTATACCACCGAATGGCTCAGAGTGAATAAAATTCCACAAAGATAGTTTTGTACTTTCAGTGTATCATTACTTTCCTCTTCATTTTAAAATCTTTAAACAAACAAATTATTGATTGCGTGATGAGAAAGTCGGTTGATTATCCCTTAGTAATTGAAATAAAGATATTGATGTTGTCATTTGTTCACCAGTTGCCACCCGTTATTAAAAGTCAAGATTTGAATATTTTCGTGTTGGTGGTAGCGGAGTTTTATGGTATTTACGCTCAATGTTGCCGAGAAAATCGTCGTTCGCATGTTTAAGGTAATTTATAACATAGTTCTACAAGAATTTCTTCGACAAATCAACAAACAAACTGTATATTTTGTTTACACTAGATGCTCAAAGTCGCGACCATTTGTCTACAAACTGAACACTCATAGCTTTGTCTTATTTGTTTTGTTCGTTCACAATGTCTCAGGTATGTATAAAAATGGAAGTTTATCGAAAATTGTGTTAGATAAAACGTTATTTTTAAAAACCTTAATAAAATCTACAATAATAGGTTTCGCAGCTGAAGGTGTTAATTTCTCCCACTGGATGGAGCTGTTACCACCACATTTGCACGATGTACCGCTGACCGAACTAGCCATTCCAGGCTCACATGATTCGTGCAGTTACTCGTTGAGCCCGCGAGCTCCGTACTCCGATAGTTTAAACTCTGTGGTAAATGAGGTTCTAACGTATAATGAACACAATTATAATCATTTTTACATTGCTTTTCTCTTATTTCAGATTAAAGAAGTCGTAAATCTTATCAACCCAGCCATAGCAAAAGACATTGTTTACCGCTGGTCAGTAACGCAGACTCAAACCATTGGTCAGCAGCTCGCAAGTGGTATACGGTATTTGGATATGAGAATTATATATCTTCCTTCGAAAAAGGACATGTAAGTACTGCACTCCTCACTTGCAATTGTTTGTTCATTATTTTTTGTGAAAACTTGTCATAAACTGATTTAGGGGTTGGATATTCACCTTTCGTCAGTGCTATAGAATTAAATTTATCAGATGGGGGCTTTCTTGACGAAGCTGAAGCCATGAAATTATGAAAAGTTACCCATTTCAAAGTAGAAGGGGCTCCTCCCCGAGCGCCCCCTTCTACACCACTGACTCTCCTATCCTATGCTATATGGGTGTGAGAGGGGGCTTGTTTTCCTACAAAATACTGCTATACGTAACAGCTATGCGCAAGCAATTATGATTAGCGTTCAATGAATGGAGCATGCTTTCGTCAAAATCTCCCAATCATAATGAAACGGTGATTGAATTTAAAGAAAAAAGTCTGACGTCGTACGGCAACCTTCGTCACCGAAATATGATGCAAACTAGTGCACCTCCATAAATGGCATCGTGCCTAATCTCTGCATAAAATTTTTTATTTTCAAAACTTGGGTTTTGAAAAGTTCTAACGTGACAATTTACCGACGAGGTTCTAAAACCAATATGGCGGATGAAATTAAAAGACGCTCGTTTTTTTCTCTCAATATTTGCAATCATTCTTTCCTTTTTAATTTCGCGGGAAAACGATAGGATTAAACAATGACGTCAATTACAAACAGCTGCAATTTAGTGCCTATTTGAAAATACACATTAAACTGATCTTTGTCTTTCATGAAAAACAAGTGCAGTAATATATAATTTTGCTTCCTTTTTCAAGTTTGATACGCAAATACTCCACTGAGATGCAAGTATTTGCGCTTTGATACGCAAATACTCCACTGAGATGCAAGTATTTGCGCTTTGATTTCTGCTCTTTACGCTTATTGTAGAGTCTAGAATTTCACTGTCACGTGTATCTGCCTGTCGAGCGACCCATGCGCGCGCATCAATTTAATTGTGCTTCATTTTTAATGTAATTTTTGCCAGATATGTAGAACACGGTTTAATCGGGGCTACCTTGGATAACATCTTGAAACAAGTGCGGGACTTCCTTGAGAACTGTCGAAAAGAAGTCGTCATACTAGATTTTAATCACATGTATGCTTCGTCACCTAAAGTGCGCGAACTCCTATTTTCTAAAGTATCGACGCTCTTGGGAAAATATTTGTGCCCGAGGACGGAAAAATTATCTTCATTTACATTACAAAAGATGTGGCAACTGAAGAAACAAGTTCTCTTTTTCGTTAGTTATTCTCTTGAAAAAAAAATACCCATGTTTGCATGGTCCAGTCAAAAAAGTATAATTTCTCCCTACAACAGCGACATCTTTACAGAACATTCAAAATGGTTAGGATTTCTAAGCAAAGAGTATGCCAAAAGCGTCCAAAATGCGTTTTACGTCACGCAAGGCATAATGGAACCTCATTGGATGGAAATAGTTGCTGGACAGGCGGTAAATGGAAGTTTGAAGGCTTGGATTTCAGAAACGGCTACCGTCAGTCTTGTTAAATGGCTTAAGGGGCGACATAGGGGATCTCGTGGTGTAAATATTGTGATTGCAGATTTTGTCGAGGATAATGATTTTATTCCATCTGTTTTACGTTTGAATAAGGCTGCCATAAACTGACGAATGTGTTTTGTTTGGAAGAATTTTTACTGTTTTTTTTCTTTTCTGCCTCTCCTTTTAAGCTGAAGTTTTTACGTATTTTATACAGTACAACTGCTCTGCTATGAAAAAACATTTTCTTTTTATTACAGAAATTTAGCAAACACGACGTATTTAGCTGTGTAATATTCTCATTTACAGATGAATCCACGAAATTTTACACTATTTTTACGACATATTACATACGATACGTCGTGTTAGCAAAATTTTCTATAACACATAAAATCTGAAGGAGATATCAACGAAATATAGAAATCGTAACGTATTGCTCAATCACTTTTCCATTGTCTATTTGTGAGGCTTCTCAAAGGA